TTTAGACAGTTTGAGGTTAACGGAAGGATGTGACAGGATAGTGTTTAAACAGTCTGAGGTTAACGGAAGGATGTGACAGGATAGTGATTAAACAGTCTGAGGTTAACAGAAGTACGTTACAGGATAGTGTTTAGACAGTTTGAGGTTAACGGAAGGATGTGACAGGATAGTGTTTAAACAGTCTGAGGTTAACGGAAGGACGTTACAGGATGGTGTTTAAACAGTCTGTGGTTAACGGAAGGACGTTACAGGATAGTGTTTAAACAGTCTGAGGTTAACGGAAGGACGTTACAGGATAGTGTTTAAACAGTCTGAGGGAAGGACGTTACAGGATAGTGTTTAAACAGTCTGAGGTTAACGGAAGGACGTTACAGGATAGTGTTTAAACAGTGTGAGGTTAACGGAAGGATGTGACAGGATAGTGTTTAAACAGTCTGAGGTTAACGGAAGGATGTGACAGGATAGTGTTTAAACAGTCTGAGGTTAACGGAAGGACGTTACAGGACAGTGTTTAAACAGTCTGAGGTTAATGGAAGGACGTTACAGGATAGTGTTTAAACAGTCTGAGGTTAACGGAAGGACGTTACAGGACAGTGTTTAAACAGTGCGAGGTTAACGGAAGGACGTTACAGGACAGTGTTTAAACAGTCTGAGGTTAAGAGAAGTTACAGGACAGTGTTTAAACAGTCTGAGGTTAACGGAAGGACGTTACAAGATAGCGTTTAAACAGTCTGAGGTTAACAGAAGGACGTTACAGGATAGTGTTGAAACAGTCTGAGGTTAATGGAAGAACGTTACAGGATAGTGTTGAAACAGTCTGAGGTTAATGGAAGAACGTTACAGGATAGTGTTTAAACAGATCTGAGGTTAATGGAAGGACGTTACAGGATGGTGTTGAAACAGTCTGAGGTTAACAGAAGGACGTTACAGGATAGTGTTTAAACAGTCTGAGGTTAACGGAAGGACGTTACAGGATGGTGTTGAAACAGTCTGAGGTTAACGGAAGGACGTTACAGGATAGTGTTTAAACAGTGTGAGGTTAACGGAAGGACGTTACAGGATGGTGTTTAAACAGTCTGAGGTTAATGGAAGAACGTTACAGGATAGTGTTTAAACAGATCTGAGGTTAACAGAAGTTACAGGATAGTGTTTAAACAGCTCTGAGGTTAACAGAAGTTACAGGATAGTGTTTAAACAGTCTGAGGTTAACGGAAAGGCGTTACAGGGCAATAACCTAAGTTGTATATGACACTAGCAATGTTTACAGGAAAATACACAGTTCGAAAAAGATTTATCGCTGTCACTATTTATTTCTTATTAACACTCGAAATTGTAGCTCGAGTTTATATGAGATAAGCTTCAAATGAACCCTGTATTATTTATAGTTCGTAATTTCACTTTCGCTGACTGGTCCATAAATATTGCCGAGTACTTGAGTATGAATGTATACACACATACAACATAACACAGAAACAGATACAGCGATGGTGTGGAGAAAATTCTAATGTAATGGAAGGAAAGTACTGGGATTTAATTGTGTTTTAGCTAAACTTGTATAAAGGAACGGTAAACTTATGCGATACCGCGGTGTCCGTTGGATATTGATATAATAATAAATATGATAATAATAAATGACTTTATTTAAGAGTCGATAACACTTTGAGTACAAGACTCTTCTAACAAGTGGTCGACAGGAAAATGTACAATATATACAACATTAAGATTACAGCATCACATATGATATAAAAATCACAAATATCACAGTAAACTAGTATAATCATGAAGGACTAAGATGTACATCAATAAAACAAATGTAATGATAAAGGCACATAGTGAAGAGGTGTATAAAACGGTTATAGAGAGACTAATAATATAATAAAAGGACTAAATTAGTGAGGTTTTGTAAGGTATAAAGGACTGATAATTAAAACAATTAATTGGCAACATTCATAAAGGTACCATACTATCTTAGGGCTAAAATAAGACTGGCATAAAAATGTGGATCTAGGTTGGTAAATTGGAGATATTTTCTGGAAGCTGATTCCACAAAGTTTGTCCAGTATATAGGAAGGAATTTCTAAACTTTTCAGTTTTGTGTTTAGGTATGATATAGTTACCATCAGTAGATGCCCAAGTTAGTCTACTGTGTACACTGGACACAAACACTTTACAGTCCAAGTAGTTTGGACACAGTTTGCTAGCTACTTTATACATTAGTATACATTCGTTGTGGTTCACTCTTTTGCTATAATGTAACCATTTGAGATAAAATTTGTCCAGACGCATCATTGAAAGAGAGGACCTTATTTTGCATATTTGGTGGTCAAGGCAGTGTTTTGCTCATATCATACCCGGTCACTTTAATGTATCAACCTTGTCTGTACTGGTCACTTCAGTGTATCACTCCTGTCTGTACTGGTCACTTCAGTGTATCAACCCTGTCTGTACTGGTCACTTCAGTGTGTCACTCCTGTCTGACCTGGTCACTTCAGTGTATCACTCCTGTCTGTACTGGTCACTTCAGTGTATCACTCCTGTCTGTACTGGTCACTTCAGTGTATTTCTTCTGTCTGTACTGGTCACTTCAGTATATCACCCCTGTCTGTACTGGTCACTTTAATGTATCAACCTTGTCTGTACTGGTCACTTCAGTGTATCACTCCTGTCTGTACTGGTCACTTCAGTGCATCAACCCTGTCTGTACTGGTCACTTTAGTGTATTTCTTCTGTCTGTACTGGTCACTTCAGTATATCACCCCTGTCTGTACTGGTCACTTTAATGTATCAACCTTGTCTGTACTGGTCACTTCAGTGTATCAACCCTGTCTGTACTGGTCACTTCAGTGTATCACTCCTGTCTGTACTGGTCACTTCAGTGCATCAACCCTGTCTGTACTGGTCACTTAAGTGTATTTCGTCTGTCTGTACTGGTCACTTCAGTATATCACCCCTGTCTGTACTGGTCACTTCAGTGTATCAACCCTGTCTGTACTGGTCACTTCAGTGTATCTCCCCTGTCTGTACTGGTCACTTCAGTGTATCTCCCCTGTCTGTACTGGTCACTTCAGTGTATCTCCCCTGTCTGTACTGGTCACTTCAGTGTATCTCCCCTGTCTGTACTGGTCACTTCAGTGTATCAACCCTGTCTGTACTGGTCACTTCAGTGTATCACTTCTGTCTGTACTGGTCACTTCAGTGTATCACTCCTGTCTGTACTGGTCACTTCAGTGCATCAACCCTGTCTGTACTGGTCACTTAAGTGCATCAACCCTGTCTGTACTGGTCACTTCAGTATATCAACCCTGTCTGTACTGGTCACTTAAGTGTATTTCTTCTGTCTGTACTGGTCACTTAAGTGTATTTCTTCTGTCTGTACTGGTCACTTCAGTATATCAACCCTGTCTGTACTGGTCACTTCAGTGTATCTCCCCTGTCTGTACTGGTCACTTCAGTGTATCACCCCTGTCTGTACTGGTCACTTCAGTATATCACCCCTGTCTGTACTGGTCACTTAAGTGTATCAACCCTGTCTGTACTGGTCACTTCAGTATATCAACCCTGTCTGTACTGGTCACTTAAGTGTATTTCTTCTGTCTGTACTGGTCACTTAAGTGTATTTCTTCTGTCTGTACTGGTCACTTCAGTATATCACCCCTGTCTGTACTGGTCACTTCATTATATCACCCCTGTCTGTACTGGTCACTTCAGTGTATTTCTTCTGTCTGTACTGGTCACTTCAGTATATCACCCCTGTCTGTACTGGTCACTTCAGTGTATCACTCCTGTCTGTACTGGTCACTTCAGTGTATCACTCCTGTCTGTACTGGTCACTTCAGTATATCACCCCTGTCTGTACTGGTCACTTCAGTGTATCACTCCTGTCTGTACTGGTCACTTCAGTGTATTTCTTCTGTCTGTACTGGTCACTTCAGTATATCACCCCTGTCTGTACTGGTCACTTCAGTATATCACCCCTGTCTGTACTGGTCACTTCAGTGTATCACTCCTGTCTGTACTGGTCACTTCAGTGTATCACTCCTGTCTGTACTGGTCACTTCAGTGTATCACTCCTGTCTGTACTGGTCACTTCAGTGTATTTCTTCTGTCTGTACTGGTCACTTCAGTGTATCACCCCTGTCTGTACTGGTCACTTCATTGTATCACTCCTGTCTGTACTGGTCACTTCAGTGTATCACTCCTGTCTGTACTGGTCACTTCAGTATATCACCCCTGTCTGTACTGGTCACTTCAGTGTATCACTCCTGTCTGTACTGGTCACTTCAGTGTATCAACCCTGTCTGTACTGGTCACTTCAGTGTATTTCTTCTGTCTGACCTGATCATTAATGTACATTATATGAATAGTAATCCCTGATAAACGGATTACATTTGTTCACACCACGTGACCGCACGTTACTCACACCTGCCACCTGCTTATAATAACACGACATTTGAATATTGATATGATAATGTAACCACTGGATTTGACGGTCTCTTTTCTGTGAAGTGTTAGCTGCAAATTTACAAAATAATAATAGTTGAAAATTGAAAGTTACGTGTTTGAAATACATTCATTACACAACTTTCTTCTCGTACTTCTCAACTTCTTTCTGGTATTTCTCAGCTTCTTTCTCACACTTTTCAACTACCTTCTCGTACTTCTCAACCCACATTCCAAAGATAAGGCTGCAGTTAAACGCCCACGTTTTGGCCACATCAGTTAATCGAACTTAGATATTCTAAACAAAGGGAAAACAGATTAGAAAGTACGGGTTTGGATCACTACAGCAGTGTGAGGGATGGAGATTGTGTGTAGCTGCTACTTATATGGAGTGTCGTGGAGGGTTTGGGGAAGAGGTGGGGAGATATTTATTGTCCGGGTCATCATGTAGACTAGTAGACATGGGTGATTTTACATTTTGTCTAATATGGTGATGACAATGAGTTCACTGGATCAATGACTTGTAAAGTCAACCTGTAATTTAAGGTCACATGACTTACCTTCGCCTTTTGCCAGGCTTCTTTTGTCGTGGACCAGCTACCTTTGGCACATCATCCAGAGTGATCCCGTCATTATCTGTTAATTTTTCATCAATTCTATCCTTTTCCTCGCCTTCTGTAGGCTCCTCTACTTCTTCATGTTTTTCTTTTATATGAGCAAAAATAAATTGATGAGTCGCCCGGCTCTGGGTTCGAATCTCATCCTCGGTTGGACCAGAAACTTGATGTGAGTGACAGAATCGAGGCTCGTGATTAATGCCATCCGCATAGTTTATGTCCGGAATATCATCTGTAGAACTGATATCCGGATAATCCGTGTCGTCTGTAGATCCCGGATACGGATGGCTGATGGTCGTATTTGTATTGTATGATTCTGCTGTTTCTCTCTCCTCGTCACCCTTATCGTGATGTGGAGTTTCCACGCGCCTTTGTTCCACAGTCTCCATTGAACTATTAGTAGCAATCTCCGGAATACTTTCCAAACTTTCAGGACTTACGGTTGGGTGTTCCGGAAACCTGTTCCAATTACACTGCTTTGAATCAGAATGTCCCAAGTCTTTTCCATTCGCACTGTTTCCAGGATGGTTAATCATTGGTTGATAAGAACAATCTGTGAGCGATTGTTCCGAACTGTTTTCGGTATCGGTAAAGTTATCATAATTGGATATTTCCATTTCGTACTTAACGGGCAAATTAAACACACAATAGATGACCACAATTCGATATTTCGCTACTCTCTTACAACTTTGTTTGGCGTTTCTCTGGAGTAATAAATGTCCAGAGACGAATATACCTTTGTCCTACATTTGAACTATTGTGTTCCCCTTTTTTCAAAATCCATTAAAAAATCTATATCCCAGGTCCGGAAAAACGATTTTCTGAAGTCGGTTTATGTTTGAGGTTTCACGTGGGACAATGCTGATTAACTGGTGTACCAGGTATAAGCCCTTATTATGACGGGGAGTTTAACACTTGTAATCTGATGTACAATACAGCGATCCGAACAACTGGCACAAATATCACTACAAACATTCACCTTGTTACCTAATCTCTTTCTTATTTGCTGGTGGTTTATAACGGGTGAAAAATTAACTTTATATAAAACTTAATTGGTAATTGCCGAGAAGAATGACGTCAGACCTAGTATATATTTGGATGTAAAAATCGATAAAACAGTATTGTAATACTGTTGACACGCGTAAAGGAAGTACCAATTAGAATGTGACGATAAACAATAAACTAAGGTGGCTACTCCAGTAGAGTGAGGGACTGAACGGGTACTCCAGTAGGGTGAGGGACTGTACAGATACTCCAGTAGGGAGAGGGACTGTACAGATACTCCAGTAGGGTGAGGGACTGTACAGATACTCCTGTAAAGTGAGGGACTGTACAGATACTCAGTAGATTGAGGGACTGTGCAGATACTCCAGTAGAGTGAGGGACTGTACAGATACTCCAGTAGGGTGAGGGAATTTACAGATACTCCAGTAGGGTGAGGGACTGTACAGATACTCCAGTATGGTGAGGGACTGAACAGATACTCCAGTAGGGTGAGGGACTGTACAGATACTCCAGTAGGGTGAGGGACTGTACAGATACTCCAGTAGGGTGAGGGACTGTACAGATACTCCAGTAGGGTGAGGGACTGTACAGATACTCCAGTAGGGTGAGGGACGACTGTACAGATGCTCAATAGAGTGAAGGAATTTACAGATACTCCAGTAGGGTGAGGCCCTGAACAGATATTCCAGTAGAGTGAGGGACTGTACAGATACTCAGTAGAGTGAAGGAATTTACAGATACTCCAGTAGGGTGAGGGACTGTACAGATACTCCAGTAGGGTGAGGGCCTGAACAGATATTCCAGTAGAGTGAGGGACTGTACAGATACTCAGTAGAGTGAAGGAATTTACAGATACTCCAGTAGGGTGAGGGACTGTACAGATACTTCAGTAAAGTGAGGGACTGTACAGATACTCCAGTAGGGTGAGGGCCTGAACAGATATTCCAGTAGAGTGAGGGACTGTACAGATACTCCAGATACTCCAGTAGAGTGAAGGAATTTACCTATACTCCTGTTGGGTGAGGGCATTTTAAGATACTTCAGTAATGTGAGGGACTGTACAGATACTCCAGTAGGGTGAGGGACTGTACAGATACTCCAGTAGGGTGAGGGCCTGAACAGATATTCCAGTAGAGTGAGGGACTGTACAGATACTCCAGTAGGGTGAGGGACGACTGTACAGATACTCAGTAGAGTGAAGGAATTTACAGATACTCCAGTAGGGTGAGGGACTGTACAGATACTCCAGTAGGGTGAGGGACGACTGTACAGATACTCAGTAGAGTGAAGGAATTTACAGATACTCCAGTAGGGTGAGGGACTGTACAGATACTCCAGTAGAGTGAGGGACTGTACAGATACTCCAGTAGTGTGAGGGACTGTACAGATACTCCAGTAGAGTGAGGGACTGTACAGATACTCCAGTAGAGTGAGTGACTGTACAGAAACTCCAGTAGAGTGAGGGACTGTACAGATACTCCAGTAGGGTGAGGGACTGTACAGATACTCCAGTAGAGTGAGGGACTGTACAGATACAGTAGAGTAGGATGAGGTAGAGTGAAGGAATTTACAGATACTCCAGTAGGGTGAGGGACTGTACAGATACTTCAGTAGAGTGAGGGACTGTACAGATACTCCAGTAGAGTGAGGGACTGAACAGATACTCCAGTAGAGTGAGGGACTGTACAGATACTCCAGTAGAGTGAAGGACTGTACAGATACTCCAGTAGAGTGAGGGATTGAACGGGTACACCAGTAGAGTGAGGGACTGTACAGATACTCCAGTAGGGTGAGGGACTGTACAGATACTCAAGTAGAGTGAGGGACTGTACAGATACTCCAGTAGAGTGAGAGGCTGTACAGATACTCCAGTAGGATGAGGGACTGTTCAGACACTCCAGTAGGATGAGGGACTGTACAGACACTCCAGTAGAGTGAGGGACTGTACAGATACTCCAGTAGAGTGAGTGACTGTACAGAGACTCCAGTAGAGTGAGAGGCTGTACAGATACTCCAGTAGGATGAGGGACTGTTCAGATACTCCAGTAGAGTGAGTGACTGTACAGATACACCAGTAGAGTGAGTGACTGTACAGATACTCCAGTAGAGTGAGTGACTGTACAGATAGAGTGAGTGACTGTACAGATACTCCAGTAGGATGAGGGACTGTACAGACACTCCAGTAGGATGAGGGACTGTACAGATACTCCAGTAGGGTGAGGGACTGTACAGACACTCCAGTAGAGTGAGGGACTGTACAGATACTCCAGTAGAGTGAGGGACTGTACAGAAACTCCAGTAGAGTGAGGGACTGTACAGACACTCCAGTAGAGTGAGGGACTGTACAGATACTCCAGTATAGTGAGTGACTGTACAGAAACTCCAGTAGAGTGAGGGACTGTACAGATACTCCAGTAGGGTGAGGGACTGTACAGATACTCCAGTAGAGTGAGGGACTGTACAGATACTCCAGTAGAGTGAGGGACTGTACAGATACTCCAGTAGAGTGAGGGACTGTACAGATACTCCAGTAGGGTGAGGGACTGTACAGATACTCCAGTAGAGTGAGGGACTGTACAGATACTCAAGTAGGGTGAGGGACTGTACAGATACTCCAGTAAAGTGAGGGACTGTACAGATACTCCGGTAGGGTGAGGGAATGTACAGATACTCCAGTAGAGTGAGTGACTGTACAGATACTCCAGCAGAGTGAGGGACTGTACATATACTACAGTAGAGTGAGGGACTGTACAGATACTCCAGTAGAGTGAGGGACTGTACAGATACTCCAGTATGGTGAGGGACTGTACAGATACTCAAGTAGGGTGAGGGACTGTACAGATACTCCAGTAGAATGAGGGATTGTACAGATACTCCAGTAGAGTGAGGGACTGTACAGATACTCCAATATAAGGAAGGACTGTTCAGATACTCCAATAGTGTGAAGGATTGTTCATATATTCCAATAGAGTGAGTGACTGTACATATACCCCAGTGGAATAAGGAGCTCAATGTGTACTCCAGTAGAACGAGGGACTGCACAGATACCATAGTAGATGAAACTGTCATGTCTCAGTCTTATATCTCTTGTGATGAATCACTACACCAGACCGTCTTGCAGGTCACTTTTGCTGTTATTGTTGATTTTTGTATCTAAATGTAAGCCCGGTTCTGAAATAAGATTAAAGAATATGCGTGTGGGTGTATCACCTTCTCTCCATTTTTTATTTTTTTTTTTATTTTTAATCGGAATTTATTTATGATCTAAACATTTCGAGAGAAATATATCATTTTTTTTCTAAATTGAATAATCGGTGGTATGTATATTATGTTGAATAGGTTTTGTTCACGTGATTGTTTCAAGTTCCATCTTATAATACATTGTATGCAGAATATTGATGGGAAATTGGTTAAAAGCTTTAATCGATTATCTATTAAAATCGGTAATGATTTTCGATTTAGTTAGATGATTAAATAGCCGGCTCTATGTTCAATCTGTGACACAGATAAAGCAAGCGTTTTAATGACCAAGACTTCTAAGCGTTTTAGTGACACAGATCAAAATTGGTAGAATGACACTGATTTTTTTTGCATTTTCGTGATACAGATCGAGAATAAGTGTTTGAGAGACAATGATTTCAAGCTTTTCAGTGAAACGGTTCGAAGGAATGTATGAAATATCTTGATTTAGAAGCATTTTAGTGAATTATCGAGAAAAAAAAAGTGTCCGGATGATCAGATTTACAAGTTTTTTTAGTGAGAGATAAAGAATACGTGTTTAATAACCCTAATTCTTAAGCCTTTTATGACCATAGATCGAGAATAAGCGTCTGAAGGACTTCAAAATACAAGCCTTTCAGTGACAGATAAAAAATAACGTTTGAGAGACCTTAATTTGCAAGCTTTTTAGTGACACAGATAGAGAAAAAACGTCTCAATTGCTACGATTTTCAGGGTTTATAGTGAAAAAGATCGACAAAAAGTGATTGAATTGCATGCTCTATAGTTAAAGGGGTCGAGAAAAAGTCTGAATGACCTTGATTTTCAAGCATTTTAGTAAACGAGATGAAAATACAGCATTTGAATAAACTTTTCCCCCCTAAAAATTGAGGAACAATTAATAAGAAGTGTTTTATCTTTGTTCAAACAACTTTTTACGCTAGTTTTCTCGATTTTTTTTTCTTCATAAAGTATAGAAGAACATTCCTTGTGCTCCATGACTCTCGTGGTATGGCTACGTATATCATTGTATGTGTCAAATTCTCCTGGGGTAATTTTTTTTTTTTTTTTTTTTGAGAATTTGAACTTTGATTAGCTAGTATATGGCACGGTTGCAATTCCATGCATTCACAATCGTATATAATGTTTGTTTAGCTTTTCACAATTTTCTCTGTCATCAATTTGTGTTTTAATGGCCACAAGTTATAGCAAATTTTAGAAGGCAGAATTCATTCATTTAACCATTTATGACAGATTCTGAGAGTTTGATCCTTCTCTTCTGTCTTCAGTGTCTAACGACAAGACGCTTCATTTTAAGCCCACTCTATCTTGGTCAGTAAGGTAACCACCAACTACTACACGAAGGAAAAGTGACACTGGCTCACGAGTCAAC